TGTGCCACTACACCTGGAATCAACCCTAAGCCCTGTTAGAGTAAATACAAGTGAATGCCTAGAAGACTTGATGTTTCTGAAGGTTATCAAGACTCCTAAGAATGTGTTAAGGGTGCAAAGAGGGGGGAAACTGGCCATTTCCCTTATCTCCAATCCCTAGGTGGAGATCAAAGCAGAAGGACCTGAATTATAAAGTCAAGTCATGTACTCATAAAACATCTGAATAGACCCACATGAGCAGCTGACATAAAAATCTATCCTGTATATATACTCCTCTACTTACGGGTGTGGTGCGACAGCCTGGCGCTGTCAAGGAGCCTGTGAGTAATAAAATGTCTGAACCCTCTCATTGAGTCCTCCAAATTCTTCCTTTAGGGTCAAAACAGTACACTGAGGCCTTTGCAGCCCTGGAGTTGAACAAGTCCTTTCATAAAGGGCTCCACCCTTCTCAAAGGCCACACCTCTTAATAGCATTGCACTGGAGATTAAAATTCAGTAAGAATTGTGCAGTGAACACCATCATTCAAACCACAGCAAAAGAGTACACAGTAAACTATCCCTGGATAATGTATTTGCATAGTTAAAAGGTAAAATATTTACTTAAATATGGTCTGAAATGTTAAGTTAAACATAGTCTATTGAAATCATAAAGCATGCTGGGGATACAGCTCAGTTGGTAGAGTGCTTGCCCCACATGCACAAGGCCCTTGGTTTAATCCCCAGCACCACAAACAAACAAACAAAAAACCTTTCATCCAGCTAAAATCATAAGGCATGTTTTCACATATATTTTGTAAGAAATAGGTCTGGTGGGGATGTAATAAGTAGATCTTCACCTTTAATGGCTAGGATCCAAAAACTTGCTTTTTATCTCTGAGTACTGATTTCAAATTCAATGTTGCAGAAAATTCCCAAAGTAGGGCTAGAGATATAGAGTGCTTGCCTGGTATATATGAGGCCGAGGGTTCAATTCCCAACACCACCCAAAAAAAAAAAAAAAAATTCCTGAAATAAAATAAAATTTCAACTGGCCATTTAGAATCAGCTGCTAATAAAACAAAGGTACGTGAGCTTCAAGTAATGAATATAACCAAGATACTTAATATAACAATCAATATAATGAATATAACCCTAAAACCTTCCTCTTTTCTCTTTGAGCTCCTAATAACATAAACATGTATCTCTAGGTATATGTGACTAAGAGATATCTGGAGGCGTTCACAAGAATAGTAATAAAAGTTTTAACTTTCTTTGAATTCTACCCTCAAACCCCTCGGTGTTACTGGGGACTAAATCCAAGAGCACTCTACCAGACCTACATCCCCAGTGCTTTTAATTTTTTGAGAAAGGGTCTTGCCCAAGCTGACCTCAAACTTGAAATCCTTCTGCCGCAGTCACTGTCAAGTCACTTGGATTATAGTAATGTACCACCACACTCAGCCTTTCTTGGTATTTTTATTCATCATTTGTGTGTGTGTGTGAGATTCTGAAATTCAACCCAAGGCCTTGTACGTGCTAGGCAAGTACTTCTGACCTACACTCCAGCCCTGAATTTTTTAAAATATTGAACATGAATTAGTTAGCTTTTTAGACAAAACATCTCATACTATGCAAACAAAGGAGATCTAATTTCAAATCCATGAATTCATGTTTAACGGATTTTGTTTTATATATCACAGCTTTACTGATGTGTAAATGGCATAAAAGAAGCTGTATATATTTAAGTATACAATTTGGTGCAGGTATATACACATGAGATCAACAAAAGATCAAGAAAATGAATTTAACCCTAAAACTCCCTTTTGCCCTTTTTAAAAAGTCCTCTTTCCACCCTCCATTGCACCCTGGACCCACCACATTTAACCATTGATCTGTTTTCTGTAATTAAAGATTCAATTGAGCTGGGCATTGTGGCTCACACTTGTAATCCCAGTGACTCAGGAGGCTGAGGCAGGAAGGCAAGAGAATCACAAGTTTGAGGATCACAAGTTTGAGGACAGTATGGGCCAATGTCGCAAGGCCTTAAGCAATTAGTGAGACCCTATCTCAAAAAATTTTAAAAAGGGCTAAGATGTGGCTCAGTGGTTAATTGCTCCTGGGTTCAATTCCTTGTATCAGGAAAAAAAAAGGGGGGGGGGAAGGTTATGGGTTGTGGCTCAGAGGCAGAGCGCTTGCCTAGCATGTGTGAGGCACTGGGTTTGATCCTCAGAACCACATTAAAAAAAAAAAAATTAAAAAAAAAAAGATACTGTGTCTACCTATCACTAAAAAATAAATATAAAAAAGATTAAATTGAATTATCTATAATGTTATATAAATGGAATTATACAATATATATTCTTTTTTTAATTTGCTTCTTTCAGTCAATATAATTATTTAGAATTTCATCCAAACAATACTATATCTCTTTTTTTATTACTCACTAGTATTTCAGTGTATGGGTAAATACTCGGTTCAAGGATTCACCTGCCGGTAGACATTTAGGACCCTTCTAGGTTTTAGTTATTAAAAACAAAGTTACCATGAACATGGGTAAGCAACTAGGAACATGTACTTTCATTTCTCTTGGGCAAAATACCCAAAGAATGGAATGGTGGGCTGGGGTTGTAGCTTGGTGGTAGAGTGTTTGCCTAACACATGTGAAGCCCTGGATTCAATCCTGAGCACCACATAAAGATAAGTAAAATAAAGGTATTGTATCCATCTACAACTACAAAAAAAAAATTAAAAAAGAAAAAAAGAAGAAGAAGAAGAAGAATGGAATGGTTAGGGCCAACAGAAAATGTATGCTACTTCTTAAGATACTGTCAAATCAGATGTACCATTTTACATTCCTATGAACAGAATGTTCCAATTCCTATACATCCTGCCCCACATCTGGTATGCACAGATTTTAAATTTTGGACATTCTAACGGATAATGTAGTAGTATTTCATTATGCCTTTTATTTACATTTACCCAGTGACTAAGGATGTTGAGCACCTTTAGTTATTTACTAACTAAACATCTTCGGTAAACATTTGAAACTTTTTCTTTTTTTTCCTTTTTTTTTTTGATACCAGAGATTTAACCCAGGGATGCTTAACCTCTAAGCACCAGCTCTTTTTGTGACAGGATCTCATTAAGTTGTTTAGGGACTAAGTTGGTAAGGCTATCTTTGAACTTGCGATCCTCCTTCCTCGGCCTTCAGAGGACTGGAATTACAGGTGTGTGCCACCATGCCCAGCAGATGTTTGAATCTTTTGCGCATTTTCAAAATCAGTTTGTTGCCAGAGAGTAGCACAAGTCTATAATCCCAGAGACAAAGGAGTCTGAGGCAGGAGCATCAAGCTCAAAGTTAGCCTCAGCAAATTAGTGAGGCCCTAAGCAACTTAGTGAGATCCTGTCTTAAAATAAAAAATAAAAAGGACGGGGGATATGGCTTGGAAGTTAAACACCCCTGGGTTCAATCCCCAGTATCAATAAACAATTAAAATCGGTTTCTCCTATGTTATTATCTAGAAATTTTATCATTTTAGATTTCACATTTAGTTCTACTAGCTAATTCTGTAGCAAAATATAAATCATTTGTTTTGTGCATGACTATCCAATTGTTGCAGCACCACTTATTTAAAAGAAGACCCTTTCTCCAATGAATATCCTGCCCTTCTGTCTACAATCAGTTGTCTTGGTCTGGGGTTATGGCTCAGTGGCAGAGCACTGGCCTCGTACATGTGACCCACTGGGTTTGAGCCTCAGCACCACATAAAAATAAATAAACAAAATAAAGACATTGTGTCCATGTCAAAATAAAGACATTGTGTCCGTGTCTAAAAAAAAAAAAAAAATTAAAAATCAGTTGTCTAGGGCTGGGATGTGGCTCAATCGGTAGCACACTCGCCTTGCATACGTGCAGCCCGGGTTCGATCCTCAGCACCACATACAAACAAAGATGTTGTGTCCGACGAAAACTAAAATAAATAAATAAATACTTTAAAAAAAATCAGTTGTCTATTTATGTGTAGGCCCATTTCTGGACTTTTTTATACTACATGAACAATCTACCTGTTAATCTTTACACTGATACTACTGTTTTGATTATGTGAGCTTTATAGTAATTCTTGAAATTAGACAATAGGTTTTTGTAGATTCCTTAGATAACCTACAGAAATGATCACATCCTCTAGAAATACCAAGTTTATTTCTTCCTTTACAATCTGGATTGTCTTATTTCTCCTTGCCTAATTATACTGCCTAGAACCTCAAATACTACTGTAAACATTTTGAACATAAGTAATGAGAGGTAATATCTTTGAATTGTTCCTGAATTGATCTTGGAAGAGAATACACAGTCTTTTATCATAAAGAATGATTTTAAGCCAGGCATGGTAGTACACACATTCAATCCCAGAGACTCGGGAGGTTGAGGCAGAAGGATCACAAATCTAAGGCGAGCATCAGCAATTCAGCGAGACCCTGTCTCGAAAAGTACAAAGGACTGAGGATGTAGCTTGATGGTAGAGCACTACTGTGTTCAATCTCCAGAATCAAAATGAAAAAGCAAAAAGATTTTACTAGGTTTTTCCCTAATGTAACCTTCATGAGGTTAAGGAAGTTCCCTTCTAATTGCTTCTAATTAGAATTCCCTTCTAATTGCTATATGCTATTTTTTGTCACAAATAGATACTGAATTTTGTCAAATGGTTTTTCTGTATCTATTGAGATGATTATACATACATACATACACACACACAGTTAATTTTTAATCTGTCAATATAGTCAATTACTCTATTTACATTGTAAATGTTAAATCTGTCCTACATTCCTGTTATACTATTTGATTCTGTAATAAATTATATATAAAGTTACAGTAGTAAAAATGTAGATAAGTCATTTCCAACTTTCACTATCAGTTTGCATTCAAAGTTGTGAAGACTTTATTGATTCTACAGTTTTCAAAAGATTTTCTTCAAATATATTTCACACTGTATATCCATATTTTTAACGATTTTAATACTTACTTATCAAGGAAATCTTTGTCCACTACAGCAGAGATGTCAAGAAGAGGATTTCCCATTCCAAAGAGAATATTTTCTCTAAAAACCATAAACAAAATACAAGAACAAGTTATAAATATGTAAAATACACCAAATATAAACATCTTCACTTCACCTGAAAATAAATCTAACACAGTAGTTTATTAAACCTTTGCTTACCTATTACATGCAGAACATTTTAGAGGTAGTGCAAAGTAATTTTGAAAAAAGGATTTTTTTTTTTTTTTTTAAATTTTAAGACATGATCCTTGCTAACTAGCCCAGGCTGGCCTTAAAAGTCATAATCCTCTTTTTCTCAGCCTCCCAAATTAAGTTACTGGGATTACAAGCACGTACCACCATACCTAACACACACAAAAAAATATTTTTTAAACTGGATGAAATAAAATATAACAAAAGAAGAAAGCAAATCATGTGATTTTTAAAAATAATATTCAACACTTAATGACTAAAGCTAATTCATTTCACTGTTCCTTTATTTTTAAAGGTCTACCATAACAAAGTTCTATATTCAATAAACATGACTGACAATTAACACTCTCTCTCTCACTAATAAATAAGGTCCTTAGCTACTGATGGTTATTAGGGAGTAAACAGCAAGTCCTCTGACAGTCCAAGCAAGAGTCCTACCCATAACTGTGAATGACTGTGATTGGGGCCTCCATGATGGACATCAGAGATGATATAATTCTCAATTTCTTCTTTAAAGAAATCTGTTTTTCATAAGTAACTGCAGTAGAACTCAATGCCAAGGAAAGAAAGGACTCCACTACAAGCGATGTCTTAAACAGAAACACATAAGCAGCCAGAAATGGACCAGTGTCCACATATGCATCCGTCTCATTGGGAGACTAATTTAGTTTACTCACTAAGATTTGCCTCATATACTTTTTCAGTGGTCTCCAGTTTGCTAAAAATCCCTTGCAGTTGCCTCCAAACCAGTTACCAACCTTACCATTTGGTGACTATCAATATCATCAATAGGTAATATCAACAGGAAGAGTGTCTCAGTGTTTTCTTATTAGAATGATGTTTATCCTACAATTAATAGTCTATAATGAGTTTAAAAGATTGAATTAGTATTTCATTGACACCATAGATTAGGCAACTATGACTTAACATACAAGAAGATGTTTGTCTCTTTTCTATTTAAAGAAGGCGGTGAAGGACTGGTGTTGTAGCTCAGTGGTCAAATGCTTGCCTAGCACATATGAGGCACTGGGTTCAATCCTCAGCACCACATAAAAATAAACAAATAAAATAAAGGTACTGTGTCCATCTACAACTTAAAAAAAATTAAAAACAAAAGAAAGTAGGAAGGGGGGGACTAAAAGAGAACATATTTATTTATTTACACATCAAGTCACATCTGTGATCAAAATAAGTCCAATGTCAGATAAGAAGATAAGCACTTAGAAGATAAAGTAACACTATAAACTTTACCACTACTTTCTCAGCGACTACTCTGATTTGAGCACTGTTTTAAAAACAATAAAAACTCCTAGAACCTATTATTTTAAAAAAATTATAATAATGATAATGGGGAAAGTGTTTCTGGGGGCTGTCTTTTCCTTCTCATTTGCCCTTTCTAATTTTTTTTATTTTATTTATTCTAATTTGTTATATATGACAGAGGAATGCAATTCAATTCATTTGCTCTTTTTAAGTGTTTGGTTAAATGTACAGTCAGGTAACCAGCAGAATCAAACTATGGTGCATTCCCATCATGATAAAATAGTATCCTGCTGCCCATACATTAATCCCATCACCTCTGACTGGTAGCCTTGGTTTTAAGGAACATAACTATGATATTTCTTTTTAGGAAGTCCATCCTTTAAACATTTCCTGCATCCCAAAATAACTTACTATATTATATTTGAAATACCATTTAATGCCTTCAATTGGAAGGAAATTTAAATCTGTTATTAGCAAGTACACTATCATTTATTGAGTATTGAGTAACGTTCTGTGGAAAAAACATGTATTTTTTTCATTCCTATTGCTGTTCTTCACTTAAAATTTACTATTTGGAAGAAGTATATACAATAAAAAATTCCTAAATTTTTACATTATTGTCAATGAACACCTCTGAAATGGAACCATAGTATAAATGGGAGAATAAAGATGTTAAGAGTAGTTAAGAAAAGCATACAGAATACAATTCAAAGGCCATGAATCTCCACTATTTCTCTCTTAAAAGTAACTTTCAATGTTGCTAATTTATCTGAGAATGAGTTTGTTTATTTGCCAAATTGTTTGAGATCATTTGGTACAAGAAAAAATGTAGGAGAATTAATGATGAGGAAGCAAGATCCCTCTTTCTTTGAACACCACAAATTCTAAGTTAAGAAACAATTATTTCTTTTTAATTGAAGTAAAATTTATGTACATAAAATCAATCATTTTAATAATTTAAAAGAACACAATACAATTCAGTAACTGCCAGTATATTCAAAATGTTTCAAAATCTTGTACAATTATCGTCACCATCATTTGTGGGCATATGTATGGTGCTAGGGATTAAACCTAGGACTGGCACATTCTAGGCAAGTAGTCTACCAATGAGCTACATTCCCAGCCCCCAAACATTTTATTGAAGACAATTTCATCACCTTAAAAAGAAACCCCATATCCACTAAGCAGTCATTCACTTTTCCCCCCTGGCCCAGTCTCCTGGGAACCACCAATATCCTTTGTTTTTATGTATTTGCCTATTCTGCATATATCATATAAAAGGAATCATATTAATAACCTTGGGTTTATCTTGATTTATTTCATTTAGCATAATGTTTTCAAGTTTCATCTATATTGTAGCAGGTATCAGGTTTTTATTCCTTTTTACAGTATAACAACATTCCATTTATGGATATAAGCCACATATTATTTAAACATTCGCTAGTTGAAGAACATTTGGAATGTTTCCAAATGTTAAAAATAATGTTATAAATAATGCAGTTTATGAACATTCATGTACTTGTGCTTTTGTATGGAAATGTTTTCATTTGTCTTTGGTATACACAGAGGAGTAAGATTGTTGGATCAATTTTGTTTTAAAATTTTTGAGGAAACACCAAAACTGTTTTCCACAGTAGCTATACCATTTTAACATTCCTATCAAGAATGTATGAGTGTTCTAATTTCTCTACATCCTAAATTTGCCAAAATTTAGTTCATTTTTTTCACTTGTGGTTTTGATTTGAACCTTTCTAATGAAAAATAAGGTTATCATCTTTTCACATGTTTATAGGCCATTTGTACATCTTTGGGGGAAATGCCTGTTTTTCTTTGCCCATTTTTTAATTGGCCTGATTATTTCTCCAATGTTTGTTTATTAAAGTTCTTTGCATATTCTACATGCTAGATATACCTGATATAAAATTGCAAATATTTCTCCTATTATGTGAGTTGGTTTTGAATTTCTTGACAGTATATATTTCTGGATTCTCAATTCTCTTATATTGATGTTAATGTCTATCTGTATGCCAGTACCACACTCATTTGATTATTGTAGTTCTGTAACAGTCTACTAAGTCACAAGCATGAGCCCTGCAACTTTTTGGTTCTGAGAACTAATCCCACAGGCACTTTATAATATTCTCAAGTCCATTTTATTTTTATTTTGAGAAAAGGTCTTACTAAAGTGTCCCAGGTTTGACTCAAATTAGTGATCCTCCTGCCTCTGGATCCCAAGTCACTGACTGATTACAGGTGTAGACCACTATGCCCATCTATGATCTTGGATTAATTATAAATTCTTAGATACTTCTCTTAAGTATCTTAAATACAACAGTAAAACCATATGCAAGAAAAGAAAACATAACTGGAATTTTCTGCAGCAAAGGACATTATCCAACATTGTTGGTTTTCTAGATTTTTTTTCTATTTTAGGTCTATTGCAATTCCATACAAATTTTAAGATCAGATTGTCTATTTCTACAAAAAAAGGATGTTGGGATTTTAATTGAAATTGCATTGAATCTGTAGGTCCATTTTTTAAGTATTATCATTTTAACAACTTTAAATTTTCCAGTTCATGAACATGGAATGTTTTCTGAGCAAATCTGTCTTCCCAGCATACACAAGCCCTTAGTTCAATCCCATAAAAAAATTAAAAATAAATACAGATACCGAATCTAGCTCAAACCTATTTCTTTCTTTCTTTCTTTTTTTTTAATTAAACTGAGGGTTGAACCCAGGGCATTTTACCACTGAGCTATACCCCCAACCCTTTTTATTATTATTATTAGTTGTTCAAAACATTACATAGTTCTTGACATATTTCATACATTTGATTCAAGTGGGTTATGAAGTCCCATTTTTACCCCGTATACAGACTGCAGAATCACATCAGTTACACATCCACGTTTTTACATATTGCCATTCTAGTGTATGTTGTATTCTGTTGCCTTTCCTATCCTCTGCTATCCCCCCTCCCCTCCCCTCCCATCTTCTCTCTCTACCCCATCTACTGTCATTCATTTCTCTCCCTTGTTTTTTTTCTCCCCTGTAATTTTGTATAACAGTGAGGGTCTCCTTCCATTTGCATGCAATTTCCCTTCTCTCTCCCTTTCTCTCCCACCACTCGTCCCTGTTTAATGTTAATCTTCTTCTCATGCTCTTCCTCCCTACTCTGTTCTTAGTTGCTCTCCTTATATCAAAGAAGACATTTGTCCCCAGCCCTTTTTTATTTTGAGACAAGGTTTCACTAAGTTGCTTAGGGCATTGCTAAATTGCTTAAAGCCTTGCTAAGTTATTGCTAAGTTACCGAGGCTGGCCTCAAATTTTTGATACTCCTAACTCAGTCTCTCTAGTCACAGAAATAACAGGCATGAGCAGTCATGCCAGGCTTCAAATCTATCATATTTCACCACATCTACCATTAATCATAAATAATTCCAATTTCTGATGATGATCTAAGACTATCAGTTGTAAAAGGTACACCAATTACAGAGATGTTAAAATGGGAAGAAGCATGCATGCTAATTAAGATTCTGAAACATAGTATCTATTTTCCTTTATCTCTCTATCATTCTAATACA